ATCCAAGGACATGTGTTGGATGGAGTAACATCTCTCCATGTTACTGTGTTCCTTACTGGGAATACCACGGTAACACGAAAAATCCCTCGCCTTTGTTGGCCACTTTCATACTGTCGGGCAGGTCCATCCCCAGCAAAAATCCGAAGAGAGTCGTATATTGGAATCCGAGCATCTGTGGACAATGGTTGGGATGTTGACAGGGCATCTTTTATTCGAACTTCATTGTAAATGACTTGGTCAACATCAGTACTGTTAGATCTGCCGAGGATATATAACGATGGCCTCTCCACATCGCGTTGGATGTTTGTTGCTGGACGATGTGGGTGGAGGATCGCATACTCTGCATCTGTGAAGTAGATGGCGGGTCGTACAAGAAAGATACCATGAACATGATGTGCGAGTGATTCGCTATGTCTGAATGATCGTGCCACATTTTTATGTGTCGCGTCCTTTCCTGTACCTTCAGTTCCTCACGCGTTCCAACAGACTCTCCAATTCGGGTGAATCGGTTGACAAGGTCTGCGAGGGATAAATTTGTGTACTCTTCGTCAGTAAATGAACGTAGATACTCCAATGCCTGTTGTCTGTGCAACTCGTTTGTCCGGATTGTGGTCAGGGAAATGTGTCGAGCATGGACAACCTCTGACCGACATTTAATGTTACCGGTCTTGTTTATAATTTCAGAATAGAATGTTTTTGGCGCTACCAATTCTCCTATTTCGATTTCCCCCTTGGAGATTTTTTCGATCACTTCCTTGCGGAGAAAACGTAAAGACCTTGGCGATGTTATCGGGATGCGCGTATGTGGTATCCGCTTGGCTGCACGTCTCACCCTTCGCGGATAATCGCGTCCAGAAACCCGCTCAGTTTGATTAAACTGTGCAACATCCACATTGTTATTTACGGCTATATCTTTTAAAATTTGACCGGAATTTCTATGGATGTTGCCATTCAGATGTTTAAGATTGACCTCTACTGCCAATTCAGTCCAGTTGACATTCGAGTTGGGTGGTATGGACTTCATCGTGTTTTGTCGCAGCTGTAGTTATTCAGATTTCCAACTGGATTTTGGGGTCTTATTTTGTTTTCTTTTTCCCTCTGAAGTTGTTTGGTCGTTCTTTCAACAGCATCCGACTTAGTCTCATAAAACATTGAGAGACGGTCTCTGTCATACTGGGAATATGACCACCCCGAGGCCAAAAATGACATGACATCATTCCCATTGTTTTGTGTTGTCTCCTTAATGTTATGGTTCTGTGTTTTTACTTGTTTTTCCGCTTCCTTTTTTTAAGTGATTGTGGAGTTTTTCGGACAAGGTTTAACTCCGGAACTTTACATAAAGCTGCTGTCAGAGATGTGGAAAACTGGCTTTCGAATGCCGGTTTAAAAATATTCACAACATGTCCGGCGGTCTGATCCGCTTCACTTTTAAGTCCATGCTTTATGCCGGATGATGATGGACCGGAGCTGGACATTTGTGTCGCGAGCTCGGAACAGACCGTGTAAATTGTTGGTCGTTTTTGTTTCGACAAAAATAGGTCGTCGTATGGTCCATCATGTTTTAATCAAGCATTGCATGCAGTTAGTGTGTGTTCTCTTTTTACATAGGTACTAAGTTTTTTCCACGATTTTAAATTAAAGTGTTCCACATATGTTGCCTTTTCCTGTGTTTTGTTTGCGTTTCTCCAGTTTGAATTGTTCCGTAAATAATCTTGATTTTTTGGCACTTTCGATCGAAATTCGTTTAAACCGCTCCATAGTAATTTGTGGTATCCCTTCGTAAAAAATATTGTAGTTTTCATACCGTTGTTTTATTGACAGATCTGTCTTTAGAAGCCCTAGCACTAAGTTTTTTGGCAAAGTTGCACCCATTCATGTTGATAAATAAAATTAATATACCCACACAGCATAGCATGTTCAAACGGCACTGAATCACACGGTTTCCATATTCATTATATTGTTAAATAGTTTACACTACACTAAGAGGGGGTGGGTGGAACAGAAGGATTTTCTTTTGAGTGGCCAGTGCCAGGGGGCCGGTGCAGGGCGTCCCAGACTCCTGAGAATAATCTACACATTCCTCACAGAAATTGTCTGTTAAAATTCATAAAACACTGTTTTGTGTTTAACTGGCCTCCATCTTGATATGTATCTTGATTTTTGTGTGATTTTGCTCTGTGTAGTAATTTTGACGAATATTTGTCGATTTTGCCGGAAGGAGTTATGTCCCTTTTCTGCTTTACGCCATTCTTTTTCAACGTAGTTGACCAAGTTTTTTTTATGTGTTAGAGTTAAAAAGTGTTTTATTTTATTTTTCAAGTAATGCACACTTGTTTGAATATGTATTTATGTACTATGAATACAGTTGTGGTTTACGACAATCGTTTGGGTTTGTTGTCTATCTTAGCATTTTCACCCAACAACGTAATTTAACTATATTGTAACCTGGTTATCAGTCCAACTAGAGTAACAAATACTACACAATCTTTTTATCAACCCATTCTACATCAGTAATACTATATCCTCCGAATCATCCATTTATGTACCGGTTTCGTCCTGCCTACCAAAGCCCAAGTCATTTAAGAGGAAAATATGGTTATACATTATATTTCCTGTTAGTATACTAGTAGCTTCCGTTATAGGTACAGTACTTTGTCTATTAGTCAGGCTTGGCCGGAGTCTGAGATTATCCTCAAGTATCAAATTTTGATTTCACTTCTGATAGTGGACATGCATACAAATAGGGACCATCGGAAAGTTTTTCTTCACAGTCCGGCGGAGGGGACTATAAACGGTGTCCCGTGTAGGAGGGTCCAACCTGCACGTAAAAAATCCCTGTGTATTGTCGAAAGAGTAGGCGCGTTAACGCCGGCACAGAGGATAGGGTTAGATTAGATCACTTTTATTAGACGATTCGACGGAACTCCAACATATAGGAACAAAACAAAACATAAAATAGAGTAGGATATAAGTAAAGGACAGCCTGGATATGGTACGCCCTCCTCCTAGACCCACGCCATATAAGACATCATGATATGATACGATCGGTTATCTCCCCATATTTTTATATAAAAATAATTCAAGTAAGACATATAATATATTATAAGCCCAGAAACTTATAGACCCCCCTCCCCCCCCCC